CAAAGAAAGACATTACACAATGCTAAGTGTACGTTTATTTTTAATAACGCATTTTTATCTCTAATAATTATTATAAATTAGTATGTGTCTTAATTTACACGAGTTGAGATTTCATCTTTCCTTACAGGTGAAACAGTGTCCCTTCATCTGACTTGGGTTTCCGCAAAAATCAGCACCGCCCCAGGGGCCTTCTTCAAGTGCGTGTTGCCGAGTTTTCTTCATTACGAAGAGGGGGCGAGGGTAGCAGTCGACAATCTGAGAGTGGTCGCTTTCAATGATAACAACGACACCGAACATTTCGGCGGAGGGCCAGGTATATATCTATATCTATAAAAGTAATGGGACGGATTTCATAGGTTTGGTTTGATCTTTTTAAGTAAAAGAAGGCTAATTATAAGAAGGGGCGGACCAGAGAGCCACCTAAACATTTTAAGACACACAAGAACTTTAAATTACAGTCATAAGTTATTTAGATAACTGAATTGATAGGCACTTGATAGGTTATATAATTTCAGTCGATGAAACTCAATTTCCCCGTTGGTGCACTCTTACAGGTGTATAGCGATTTTTTAAAACGGTATTTGCATAAACGTTCTTGTTCAAGTAGTCAAAATTTGAAAAAAAAAATGTATGAAATACTTTTAACTATTATGATACTAAAATATCATAATATTAATCAATTCCAAACTTTCTCACACCATGAATCCCCTATTGGCATATTTAAAACATAATTAATTCAATGTTTTCAGCAACAACTTGCACTCAAGACGTCGAGGTGGCGGAGTATGGAGTGATTAAAACTTACATCAGTATCTTTTTGACCGGGATCGTCGTTGTTCTTGTCATTGTGTACCTCATCAGGATCAAGATAAAACAACGTAGGAAAACCAGCCAGCAGCTGCACACCACCGTGCCCATAAACGAAAGTTCGAACGCCACGCAAAAGACATAAGAAAGGACCGACACAAGAGCGAGTGTTAAGATGTCACGCTGTGCTGTCTTAAAAATACATATGAAGTCAACTTTTTGCCACAAAAGCCAACCAAATGCCAGCATATAGTTTCAAGTAGTATAACTAAGAGAATTACCAAAAGTCATTGTTTAATTTTTACCTGAAAATGATATTTGAATGGATTTTTCTGCCAGCAATCTATGCTGTATGTCAATGAGGCAGAAAAGCAGGGCACGAATGTAGTTAAAAATTTGGCCGAAAATTTGAAGAAAGGAGCAGTCTTAAGCTCTTTTACGGCTGATCGAGTGATCTATTCAATTTATCCCTTCGCATGTCAAACTTATTCGAGTCGAAACTACTAGAAGTGGTTTATATGTGTTACTGGGAATCCAAGCTCCACCGATGCTCGGTTCGTATGTACCTTTAAGTGATTGTGGGCTGAAATTCACTGTAAGGGCATAAATTGATCCGCGGATTTGTTAGGCTGCAGATTAACTTTGGTTTTAAATGCGGCCCAACTCCAGACAACGCAGACATGTCAATGACAATGGTGAATAGTAACTTATTGTTGATAGTTCTGAAAAGCAGAAGAAAATTATTATTATAATGTTCTCCGGGGAGCTTGCAGATGTAAAAACAGGGGAATGCATATTATTTCTGGTGTATTAAAAAATTTAATACTATCCGACTAATTGTAATTACAATTATAGACATTGGGAATTATTGATGGGTTCATTTATCCGTTCGGTTTTTTTACTACAGAGTTAAAAAAAATTGTGTAAGAAGGGTGTCGTTTGATACTATCTACTCTAGCACACTGACATTATGTCGAAATCACGACCACAAATTCTCTGACAATTTTTTCTAACTACAGAAAATCAACGGCAATAAACTTGTAAACTTGAATTTGGAGACATCCAATTTTATCCCTTCTTAGTACTTCCAGCGACACAGCCAAACGTTTGCCCGTTCGAAGATTTAATTTTCTTTTTCCAAATTATTGCATATGAGCAATATCTGTCGCAAGTTTTATTTCTAAGTCAGGATCCTATATTCTGTTTTAGTTATACTTTTGTTACGTTTTCACCTACGTTTGTCTGTTCGTCACCAGCCTTTCTCAAAAAGTTACGGGTGGATTTTGATGAAAAATTCAGGATAGGCCACGAATGGGCTATCTTAAAAGTAATTAGGTTTTGATGATGACCCATTGATTCATTAATGATAATTATTAGTTGATGACAACTCTCAGCGGAGGTATGCGCTTTAGGGTAAACATTTCTGAGACCGCATTCAAAACAGTGGACTAACTAGTCCAAGGGTCAAGTATGGCCGACCAACTTGAATACTTCCCACGGGGAATCCATTCAGTGTCTATAAGCGGATTAGACGGCAAACTTTGTGGTGGGTCGCCATATTTGACCCTCGGACTAGTTAGTCCACCGTTCTAAATGCAGCCTTATACTGACTTTAACTGTGTCATTTGTCAGATCTTTACATTTTAAACAGATTGACCCCGTGGGTATGCTATAACATAAAAAAGGTTAAATTAATCACTAGAACTTTTAAAAGTCAAGCATAACAGAGCTGCCCCATCACAATGTAATGCCAGATTTATTGTTAAGTCATGAAGAACGGAAAATTCAATCTCAAACAATATAAAAACATAGAATGCTTTATATCCCTATACTCTGTACAAGTAAAAACTTTTTTATCTCATGGAAACTTGAGTACAAAACTGAATCATACATGAAATATTTATATACCATCCTTGAAGTAGAAGGAGAGTCTGCAGTACTTGTGTTTTTTTTCATATCATTACCAGGACTCCAGGAAGCAAAATAACCACTCAAAACTATAGCATAACAAAACTAAATCTCACATACAAAATACAGTCCTTTATCAGTTAGTATGGCTTACTTTCATTACTAAATGAAAATAAAATCCAATCCCGATTTAAAATCTTTTGAAAATTAACATACTATCCAACTAGTTGTCTCTGTCATTTAAGAAGCTAAAAAAAAAAAAAAATTACAGGCTTTACAAAAGGGTGCACAGATATCTCGTAAAACTGTAGGATGACATCATTTTTCAATCATTTTGGCTTTAATATGCGACTTCCATCACTTTTACTTTGCAGAAGTCTATTATCTGCTGATATTTAACCTCTTGTATACTGTTATTAAATCTACAAAGATAATACAATTAATGAAGTAAGTCAGGCTTCAAATCGCCCTACATTTAAACATTTTGCTGAATCCTTTTTTCTGAGAAAAAACTCTGCCTATCATTTAAACCACTTGGACATAAGCTATTGTTACCATTTGGAAAATAAATTATTTAATCATCTTTCCAAGTCAAGAATGCTAGTACTTATGCTATTTGAACCCATGCTTACTCCTGTGATCAAAATATTTAATCAAGGGAAAATAAATCTTACATATTATCTATAACCTCCCCTAAACTTCTGTAAGAACCGCATATTAAGATATTATCATTCTTTATATAAACAAATACACATGGAGGTCAAAAGGTTTTTCCTTATTGTCTACATATATCTTCCCCCTTATTTAAACACAAAATGTTTTCAAGTTGTGTCTATGTAACATTTGCCATTAAATACTGAACTGGTGCAAATATTACTAGCCATGCTAGTTCATCGTAAATACACAATGTTCGGAGAATTTGATGAACACCTCATAAGTATGGAATGGCGCAGGATGATCATGATTACAAATCCATTGATTTTTCTCTTGATGTATGTACTATTTCAAACATGGTCCCTCAAGCAAATGCTAGGATACAGATTCTGCAGACCCTTAAATGTGTCCCAGAGAATTTTTTCTTGCCTGATGACTGCACAGTTTTCTAAGAAAGTCCTTTCGAGTTGATAATTCTAATAATCCTGCCTCTATCTTGCATGGTTGATTACTTTCACACAGTACATGGCTTGTTTTATAGCAAGTTGAATAGCTACGATTGGTATTCAATACAAATGGTATGAAAATAGAGAAGCACTATGAAAGCCGTGCTAATTTGTGGTTTCTAAGATGCTTGCCAAGTCTATACATAATAGAAAATGCATCTTTTTTATTTATTTATTTTTTTACAAAAAGTCCAGTGTCCTGATCTTGTAATGTATGCTTTTATATTTACTTCTTATTCTGGTCTTCACTGCTCACAGCTAATACTAAAAGTAAAAGAAATACAAACGAATATTGAAACATACATAAAAAGACAAATATTCTTTTTTTAAATTTTAGAATCTCAACTTATCAGCACTAGTCAACTTTAAGAAGGCGAAATATATATGACCAATAAAACCAGATCCATCTTAAAGATTTAAAATATCACTTCAAAAGAAATTAGGGGAAAGAGAGTATAAGTAATCTCTATACTCACATATCCGCCCTGTTGCTGATCATATCCACCAGAGCTGTAATCATTATATCCACCACCACTGCCCCCTCCATATCCGCCACTGCCGCTTCCATAGCCACCACTGCCGCCCCCTCCATATCCACCTCCACCGTATCCACCACTGCCTCCTCCGTATCCGCCACTGCCGCCTCCATAACCGCCACTGCCGCCTCCATATCCACCACTGTTGTCTCCATATCCACCACTGCCATATCCGCCTTGTCCACCTCCGTATCCACCACCACCATATCCGCCGCCACTACTGTATCCGCCCTGTTTGCCTCCATATCCACCTCCGTATCCGCCACCTCCATATCCACCACGGCCACCACCATATCCGCCACGGCCACCACCATATCCGCCGCGGCCTCTGAAGCCACCTCCTCCTCCAAATCCGCCCCCTCTTCCTCTACCTCCACGGCTGAAAATATTGTTATAAGACTTTATATGATAATGAACTGGAAAAGTTGTTACAGATTTTATATGAAAAAGAAATGAAATGTTTTTGATTTTATATGAAAAAGAATCGAAAATATTGTCTGGTGGGCGTATAGTGAGAGGCGATTTCACTTTTGTGACTTTCCTCCAATTCTACCACAATTGAAAATCATATAAGAAAACAGATATTTACACCCTTTAAAATAAAATAAAATAAAATAAAATAAATGTTTCTTGAATATGTAAGGCAAACTCCCACAGATAAAACAAGACCAGATTTCTACCTGTTCAACAGAAGGGAGTTAAAAATTTGTAGTCTTCAGGTGCCTTTACTTCTCCATTCAATCAAATGATTTTAAGAGATCTCATTTACTCAGTTACATTTTTTTTGTACAACACTGCTTTTTAAAGCACAAAACATCTGATCTCAAAGCAACACTAACAACAAAGGCACTTTGACATACATATCTGTGAAGTTTTATTTTCT